AAAGGGATCTGAAACGTTTTTGTGAACAGTCATTCCTCTGGGATCTGTCTCACTTTGACTGGCATCGTATTCTGTTAAATGATGACGTGAACTCTGCTAGGAACTATTTTTATAATAGTTTCATTTATTTTGTGAACAAACATGCAAACATTTCGTCAGTTCAGAATAAAGGGACGAGACAGCCCCTGGTTTACTCCAGAGCTGGCTGACTTCCTGCACAGGAGAGATCATCTTTGGGCCACAGCAAAAAAAAAATCTGGCTCAGACACTGATTGGTTGAGTTTTCGACAGATGAGGAATAAATGTACAACTGCTGTCAAAGCAGCAAAACGCAACTATTTCTTATCTCAGACCTCCAAAAATCTAAATGACCCTAACAGATTCTGGAAAACCATCAAATCTCTCTCAGGCACCCCCCAATCATCTGACCTCCCATCACAACTTCTCATCAACTCTGTTCCTGTGTCAAATAAGCACGAGATCCTGAACTGTCTCAACAAACATTTTGTTGCTTCTAGTTCTTTATTTGACACAGTTACTAATGGAAAATCAGCCACTTCACTTAATAACCAAACTTCTACCAATCAAATCCCTCCTACAAGTCAATCCTCAGTTAATTACAGCTTCTCTTTTTCTCCATTCTCAGTCAGTGAGGTCAATAAACTGTTAAAAGATCTTGATCCGAAAAGATCTGCAGGTCCAGATGAACTTCCACCTTATTTCTTAAGGCTGGCTGCTCATATCATCACAGTCCCTGTGACCCACATATTCAATCTCTCCATAAGGCAAAACTCCATCCCAGACACTTGGAAAACAGCCTTTGTTCTTCTTTGCTGAAGGGAGGTGACCCCACCTCACTGAACAACTATCGACCAATCTCTAAACTCTGCATTTTAGCCAAGGTTCTAGAAAAACTGATAAACTCTCAAATCAAAAAATACCTGGACTCATTTAACATCTTACCTCCACATCAATCTGGTTTCAGGAAACAACACAGCACAACCACTGCTTCACTGAAGGTTCTTAATGACATTGTTGAAGCACTGGAGGCTAAAGATTATTGTGCTGCACTTTTCTTAGACCTGTCTAAAGCTTTTGACACTGTGGATCAGAACATCTTGTGTCATAAACTCTCAGAAATCAGTTTCTCAGATCACACCATTGGTTGGTTCTCTAACTATCTCTCAGACCGGAAGCAATGTGTTCAACATAATGGTACTTCCTCCAGTTATTTAACAGTCAACAATGGTGTACCACAAGGCTCAGTCTTAGGACCCACCCTCTTTACGATCTACATACATAATGTAGGTAAAAACATCCCTAATGCATCCATACATTTCTATGCTGATGACACAGTTGTTTATTGTCGAGCTAAAACTGTTGCTAAGGCTTTCCAGCTTTTGAAATCTGCATTCAACTACATCCAGACAGATTTGTTCCGCCTCAAACTTGTCCTAAATGCCAACAAAACCAAAGGGATGCTTTTTTCAAATAGGAAGCATGGCTCGGGCTCTGGAACCAGTTTCCTTGAGAGGGGCTGGACACTCTTCCACTCTGGAGTTGCCCCTGGTGAGAGGCGCCGAGCAGGCGTGGGCGTACTTATTGCCCCCCAACTTGGTGCCTGTGTATTGGGGTTCACCCCGGTGAATGAGAGGGTGGCCTCCCTCCGCCTACGTGCGGGGGGACGGGTTCTGACTGTCGTTTGTGCTTATGCGCCAAACGGCAGTTCAGATTATCCACCCTTTCTGGAGTCCTTGGAGGGGGTACTGGAAAGTGCACCTTCTAGGGACTCCCTTGTTCTGCTGGGGGACTTCAATGCTCATGTGGGCAATGACAGTGAGACCTGGAGGGGTGTGGTTGGGAGGAACGGCCCCCCTAATCTGAACCAGAGTGGTGTTCTGTTGTTGGACTTCTGTGCTCGTCATGGATTGTCAATAGCGAACACCTTGTTCAAGCATAAGGGTGTCCATATGTGCTCTTGGCACCAGGACACCCTAGGCCGCAGTTCGATGATCGACTTTGTCATCATCTCATCTGATCTGCGGCCACATGTCTTGGACACTCGGGTGAAGAGAGGGGTGGAGCTGTCAACTGATCACTACCTGGTGGTGAGTTGGCTCCGATGGTGGGGGAAGATGCCGGTCAGACCTGGCAGACCCAAACGTATTGTGAGGGTTTGCTGGGAATGTCTGGCAGAGTCTCCTGTGAGACGGAGTTTCAACTCCCACCTCCGAGAGAACTTTGAACATGTTCCGAGGGAGGTGGGGGACAGTGAGTCTGAGTGGACCATGCTTTGTGCCTCTATTGTCGAGGCGGCTTACCAGAGCTGCGGCCGCAAGGTTGTCAGTGCCTGTCGCGGCGGCAACCCTCAAACCCGATGGTGGACACCGTCGGTGAGGGATGCTGTCAGGCTGAAGAAGGAGTCCTATCGGGCCTTTTTGGCCTGTGGGACCCCGGAAGCAGCTGATGGGTACCGGCAGTCCAAGCGACATGCGGCTCGGGTGGTTGCTTAGGCAAAAACTCGGGCATGGGAGGAGTTCGTAGAGGCCATGGAGAACGACTTCCGCACGGCTTCGAGACGATTCTGGTCCACCATCCGGCGTCTCAGGGGGGGAAAGCGGTACGCCATCAACACTGTTTATAGTGGGAGTGGTGTGCTGCTGACCTCAACTCGGGATGTTGTGGGTCGGTGGGCGGAATACTTTGAAGACCTCCTCAATCCCACCGGCA